CGCACATGTTGTTAATGTTAAAAAATGAAGTTAGTTTTTTTATAATTCTCAATACAAATTAGTGGAAAAAATTTATAATTAATGCATTTTTTAAATATATGCCCTGTTCTTAAAACATAGGTTAAAGACAAACCTTTAAAAATTAATTAAGAGAAGAATAATTGCCTTAATAAGAAATCTTTGCAAAAGTTCTCTTAAATCAGCATAATTAGAGTTTTGTATTTCTAGTAAATTTCATTTTGACATTAATATGATTTAATTAAATAATTAATAAAATTTAAATTATTTTTTTATTTTATTCATACAAATTAATAATAAAAAATATAAAAAATATATAATTAAACAAAAATTAAAAAATTTCGTAAATAAAATCACTATCTCTTTTGGTTTTGTTAATGGTGATGTTTCTTATTGATTAGCCCATTTTTGTCGATTTCTCCGGTCCAAGAAGTTGAGTGGTTTCATTGCTAACAAAGAGACCATGTGATGCTAAATTGCTCATAATGAAGAAGTTTGAGGACTGAAAACATAAATAAGAGAAGTTCATCACACGTAATCTCTTTGTGTTGTGACCACGATTGCCTGGGCATTGGGGCCCGATGCCGCCAAGTGGACCAATTAGAGTGCAGTTTTAGATGGGGGACTGTCAGCCACTAATCTCATCGGAAATTCTCAGCCACAAATTCATTGCCGCTGGTTTTCTCTCTCTAAAACAACACATTCTCTCTCAGACTTTCGCTTTCTTCACCAGTTGCTTGCTTCTATTTCACTCGTTTTTTATACTACGAATATTAAAAAATTCTCAATAAACAATCCTAAATTCCTGCAGTTTGCGGATACCATAGCCGCCTCTCTTTCACATTACACCTCCAATTCACCTAGAAACCCATTAAAGTTCCCATTTTTCATTTCTGTTCCCTTCACTTGGACTGCTTTTTCTTTGTGAATCAGGAATTGAGGTTGAAGGTTTTTTCTGTTTCTTTCATCTGGGTTGCTTTGTTTTTGTAGATCAGGAAGTGGGTCGTCTTCATCTTCTCGGTTTAATCCTAAAAAGGTTTGCTTTCTTCTGGGTTTCTGCTTGTTTGTTGTAAGGTTTGTGTATGAATGTGCGTGCCTTTTGTGTTTGTTATGTAAAAATCATTCCTGTAAAAAAATAAAAAAAAAAACCTTAATTTTGTTGGTGGATATGAAGTAAATTATGGTGTGCCCAGATTTGCGTACAAACAGAAGATTTATCATTTTAAAAATTTAGGATTTCTCTTCTATATATGGAATAAAGTTTAGGGGTCATGTCTTATGTGCAGATCCCAGTGGTTAGTTGGCTTTTAATATGCATATCATAATTTGTAGAAATTTGCTTCAAAATCGGGTAGTTTAAGCTCATATTACTTAAGGCTTTTAGTAGTTAAAATGGGTCTTTAAAGCAATGATTACATACTTGATTTTAAGAGTTGAGGTTGATTGGTCTCCAACTTTTCGTCTTAAATGTTTAAATATTAGTTAAAGACTTTTTTTTTTTTTATTTCATAAGAGTTGTTTTGTTTACGCTACTTTGTGATTAATGATATTTTGTTCAGATAAAATCCATGGACTGGTGTTTCGGGAGTTGTATTGATGATCTAGTTGTTCCCAAAGATCAAGAATTATCAGACAGGTTTCCAACCCCAGAAAGTTGGCCAAAATGGGAAATTAATGCCCCTGGAAACATGGAGTCACAAAACGAATGCTTCATTTTGAATACAAATTTCGCTCAGGAATATCTAGTCTTGAGTGGTAAAAGTTTATATAATGAAGTTGAAATGGAATCTTCCGTCAGTGCTAAAGATGAGTCTTGTTCAAGTGTTTGCGGAGGATCATCTCAGGAGTCTCTTAATCAGGCACCAATTTCTCATCGACAGTTAGATTACCAGCTTGATGAACTCTCCAGATTCCAACAGATGGATGACATATTCTTGTACAAGCATTACTTTGGGACTATGATACTTGATTTTTTGCCAGTAGGAAACATGTTGTTGAAAATGCTTTGGCTTGTCATATATATTTGAAGCATGTGCTCAGATGACAGGCATTCCATGGAAATTGAAAGGTTCATTATATATGATGACAACCATCATTGCAAATGGTTATGATAGATGACATCTTGTCTCATATCTGACGTGTGATGATCATAAATCTTCACCCATCACTTTTGGTGTTGGTGTTCCATGCATTTGACATGATCTCTTTGCTTGAAACTTTTTGTGCGCTAAGAAGGCTACATAACATAACAGAGCCATTCAATAATCATGGGATGTCCTATAATAATGCATCACGTTTATTCTTTAACTTCATCATTTGTCTTTAGTTCAAGTAGTGTTTTCTTGTTTTTTTAACTTTCACTTGTACTGGTTCCTCTTTATTGCAGGAATTCTTTGCTTGAGGATGTGCCAGGGAGTGAAGATAGTGTCAAATCATATTCCCGTTCTCCTGATTCTCAATGCGACATGATGCCAACAGATAATCTCTTGGGAGATATGTTTTCAAATTGTCAAAGCATTTCAAGCAACCAACAAAGTGTAGGAAGCTCTAAGTATCTCAAAACAAATGCATTTTCTCCTACTCAGAGTTTGCAGAAAGTGGAAGTTCCTCCTTTGTACAGTAGTCCATCCACCTTGGAGAAAAATAATAGCCTAACGTTAAAGGTGAGGTTTTCCAACTATATTTTAAATGGGAAGTGAATGTCTATAAATTGATTCTCTAGTTAGGAAAATCTATTTTCTGTGTTTTGAAATATCTATGAAATCAGTTGTTGCCTTTGCAGGATTCTTAATTAGCAGCATGATTTGTATGCTAGTCTTTTATTCACAAAAATCCCGCCTAAGTGATTATGCTGAAATCATTTTTCCAAAGCTTCCCTGTTCATAATCTGCTTTGCTTTCTTCAGCATCTTTCTTTGGTAATTGTATAAGAACATAAAAATAGAAACAGAATGCTTATAATAGATTCGTTGAAGTCTATCAGCAGGTCACGTACTTTTTTCAGTCTTAAAATAAACACAATAAAGCTTTGACGGAACATTTTTTCTTTAAATGATACCCTCTTTTTTTTTTATCAGTGGTTGTATTTAATTACTTTTCTTTCATAAAGATTCAAGTTCAGAGATTATCTTTCTTCCTTCTCTAGCTAATACTTTTACTCTAAATAGAAGTTTGAGGGTGTTTTCTGGACTTACAATATTATTACTAATCATCATGATAGTATTTGAATAAGGTACCACCTGCCAACAATACATCCCCTCCAGAGAAAAGTTGCATCGATGAAAATATCACTCCAGGACCATCATCTCTTGAGGAATTTATTTTGCAGGAACTTGAATCTGTCATGACACAGGTGAAAAACTGGGAAAAAAAAATTCAAAGTTCACTGACATCTTTGCCAAATAACAGAACAATAGTTTTCTTATCGAGGTTTTTGTATTTCACTTTGTTCAGATACCTCATAAGACTCGAATTTGCTTCCGTGATGCCTTCTTCCGCCTTGCCAAGAACTCACAACAAAATCTGGTGGCACGCAACCAAAGAAGAAACTTTTCCTTGGAAACTGAATTCCCAACCCATGATGCTAAGATTAGGTACGTTTATAAGGTCTGCCACTTGTTGTAGTATATTTATGTTTACTTAAGTTTGCTACACTTCAAATGTTTATCTATTAAATGCGATTTTATTCATGTTCATTTCATAAGCCATATACAAAATGGTATTTGACTCTGTTATGGGTTAATATCATGGTTCAAAATTTTCTGCTCTGTGTCCTTCATGTTGTATTCCTTCATGTTGTATTCAAAGTTTAAACTCTCCTGACTGAGACACAATTTTTATATACAGGTCTGAAAGAAAGAATGGAGTTGAATCAGAGACCAACACCATTGATATAGTCATTACAAGCTTCACATTGAACAAGATGGAAGTTAACTTCCAGGATTTTCCTGTATTAAAGCACAGGTTCACCAAGGCAAGAGAAGCACTGAAGCACAGCTCAAATCAGTCAGAGATTCATTTTTTCCCCCAGTCATCTGTTATGCCGAGGGATGTTGAAGTTCCCAACGTATTTTGGCAACATGCAGTCACCAACGGCAACAGATTAACATGATCAATACAGTTTAAGAAATGCTGCAGGGGTGAGAAGCTTTCAGCATTAATACATAATGGAGTTTTGCTAGAAACAAATTAGAATGATGGCTTGGAAGGAGAGATTCAAGAAATGAAGCCTTTTTGAACTAGAAATTCTGCTTCTTTAAGTTGTCTATGTTTCTTCTAGAACTAGAATGTGTATATACCAGTTGCTTATTACTTGCTGCATCTGCACAGCTCAGTTCAGTTTTGGTCTCAGTATCTGTTTAAGCTGATTCAATCACTGAAATTAGTCTGCTTTCTTTGTTTTCGTAGTCCTTAGCAATGCCATTTATTATTTGTATGCTAATGATTTTACAATCATCTTGTTATACAAGTACAACCACTCTCTGTGCCTAATTTCATATTTATAACGACCATTCATATTGTTATTCAATAAATGAAATCTTGTGTCCTTATCTACTCTGCTTCCAGTCTTTCACCACCGAAAGTTGTTGTTGCTTTTTTTTTTT